GGGGGGGATGCATGCATGCACAGAGCGGATGCATGGGGGAGTGTATGCATGTATGGAGGGGATGTATGGGGGATGCATACACACATGGAGGGGATGTGGGGAGGTGATGTATGCATGCAGGGAGGGGATGCATGGGGGATGCATGCGTGGATGGAAGGGATGCGTGGAGGGGATGCACAGGGGGATGTATGGATGTATGGATGCAAGGGCTGCATGGAGGGGATGCACACATGCATGGAGGGGATGTGGGGAGGTGATGTATGCATGCATGGAGGGGATGCATGGGGAATGCAGGCGTGGATGGAGGGGATGCGGGGGGGTGCATGCATGCATGGAGGGGATGCACAGGGGGGTGTATGCATGTATGGAGGGGGTGTGGGTGTGTGGAGGGGATGTATGCATGTGTAGGAGGGATGTATGGAAGGAATGCATGCGTGCATAGAGGGGATGCATGGAAGGGATGCGTGGAGGTGATGTATGCATGCATGGAGCGGATACCTGCATGCATGGAAATGATGCATGGAGGGGATGTATGTGTGCATCTGGTGGATGCACAGAGGAGATGCATGGAGGGGATGTATGCATGGATGGGGGATGTATGGAGGGGTTGCATGCATGTATAGAGGGGATGCATGGAGGGGCTGTACGCATGTCTGGAGGGGATGTGTGGAGGGGATGTATGCGCACATGGAGGGGATGCATGGAGGAGATGTGTGCATGTACAGGGATGCATGGAGGGAATGCATGCAAGCATGGAGGGGTTGTGTGGAGGGGATGCATGCATGCACGGGGTGGATACATGGATGGGGGATGTATAGAGGGGATGTATGCTTGGATGGGGGATGCATGGAGGGGATGCATGCATGCCTGGAAGGGATGCATGGATGGGAAGTATGCATGCCCTGGACAGGCCCTGGGTGCCGGGGCAGGGTCAGAGGGTGCAAGCAGGGGCACAGGGGTGGTTTTGGGGGTGGCACAGCACCCACCCTGCACGAAGGGCAGAAAAAGCAGGGAGGAAGGACAGATGGGCAGGCAGCACCGCTCCATGCAGCTGCAGGGATGGAGCCGGTGACAACCCATCAGGACCAAGCTCCGTCCCATCCCCAGGGTGCAAATCCCAGCCCTGACCCCTCCCCAGGCATCTTCTTCCACCGTGACTGAGAACTGCAGGGTTGGGGGGCAGCGAGCGCTCAGCACCTGGCAGGATGAGCCCGCAGCCCCCCAGCCCTTCCCCTGCCCCATCTCCCCGCTGCCGCCAGCCCCCGACCGCCTTGCAGCCGCAATCCAGG